GCCAGCAGTTACCAAATGAATGGGGGTGGGACCAGGAAATGAACAGGGGCAGGTTTGGGGTACAACTCAGACAGCAAACAAATTGCCGTTTGAGCTAGCTCTTTGTAAGAATGAGGGATAAGTGAAGTAGATTTAAGATTCTACAGAACTGAGCCTTAAAAACCGTAGAAACTTGCAAGTTGGCTTTGAAAAGCATTGACAAAAGAAATCTGTAAAAGTTCTGGCTCTTCCCAGGAAACATAGACTAATCCAGCTCTTAAGCTCTGCTTTTCTACCAAGGATGAACCTCATCCTCACAGGGTACATTTCTGAGCCTGCCAGAAGCTTCCTACTGAATTGATAGGGACTTCTAGGATGAGGAAGTCCACAGAAATTCATCTTGGACTCCCCATTGCTGAATCATAAAATTATAGGAGTGAAAGGGACCTCAAGGGTTATCTGGGCCAATTCTCTGCAAAAAATGCCCCAAACCAATATCTGGAAAGCAGAAAAGGAAAGGAATAAGGGAAGACGAGCCACACACAGGACTGCCCAATTTCAAACCCACCAAACATGGATTCAGAGGTTCAACTTCAACCCAGAATTTATTCATACTTGTGTGTTATTTGACTGACTACATAATAAGTTACACTGTAACTACTCTGCAGTTAAACTGTCCAAGATGCATTTATTACAGCACCCAATACAAAACCAGCTTTTCACTGTGCCAAGTGCTACACAACCTACTGTTACTCTACTATAGCTCCAACTTCGTGAACACAGTACCCACCCCACAATATACTTGTGCTGCAGTTCAAGTATACCAGTGTGCTGGTCCTCAATGCTGGTGCCATCTTCTGCTCTGCCAGAGCTAGGTGGTATTCCAATTTCAGCCAAGCTCATGGTGGATCTCTGACCTGGCTGCCCAGTGAAAACTGGTCAAAATGCAAAGCTGCAGCACAGTGGAGATTGTCCCCACCAGCAGGAGTCTGGGGCTTTTCCCTTTTTTTTTTTTATTTAAAGGGCCGGAGCTGACCCAAGCAGGGCACCCATGGGAGGACTGGGGGAATGGGGGGAGAGGGGGGGAGTCATGTGGCTCATGCAGAGCCCCCCACGCAGCATGGGGCAGCAGGGATCACCCCCCCCCCC